CCAAGACATATTTCTTCAGTTAACCCTAATGTATGTTTTGATGTGCTGTATGTTTGAATGTAACACAGAATGGGTTGAAAATTTCTTCCTTGCTCTTCCCCCCAAGAGAAATCTGTTGCTATTTGTTGTTCAGCCTCTGGGTACCATGTACCATCCCACAATGTTTGGGTGGAGAGCTGCCAGAAGAGAATAATAACAGCAGCGGTGTTATCTGCTGACATGAAGGACAGGAACACACAGCCTAGGCTTGGCTGCTTGCCGCTTGTTGAGGCACCAAGCAGTCAGCCTTACCGACAGCCTCTCTGAGACACCTGCTTACTCTAGCACTACTTAAATCTATATGGTATATTACTGTGCTCCTTCAGGCCTTTTATCTCCCAAATATCACTTCTCATTTGTTTGTGTCCCTAAGACTAAAGGAACAAGAGGTAGCAAACACCAGGGAGCTTAAGGTCTACTCACCCCAACACCAATATGCTTCAGGCCAGTTCCAAACCAAACCCCTGACACTCATAAGACAGCAGAGGCCATCCTGATTTCTTCAGCCTAGGCCATCCTGATTTCTTGAGGTTCTGGAATGTAGATATTGCCAAAGAGAGCTAACAAAACAGCTGTTATTTCACCGTAGTATGTTTTGCTATACTTGTAGTACAGTAAAATAACCCTTACTACAATAAGTGAATCTAAACAACACAATAGCATAGAAATAGAATATTCATGGTGTTTATTGAAAATTAACACTGTAACCAGACATGGTGGCACGCACCTTTAATTTTAGCACTGGGGAGACAGAGGCCGGCAGATTTCTGTGAGATTCTGGCCAGTCTGGTTTATATAGCAATTTCCAGGTCATCTGGGGCTATAGGGAGACTCTGTCTCAAAAACATAAATACAAACAAAATAAGAACAAAGAAATTGAGGCTGTGTTTCAGGTGGTGTGGACAGGTTGTTTGGTGAATGTTTTGTTTTTCAATCCTCAGAGAATGTCTCAATGGTACATGTGTAGTCTCATTCAAAGGATTGTTATAGTAAATGTTGCAGGATGTTGGGATATGTGAATCACTGTCTCCCCATTCCTCTTTTTAATCAGCCCTTCCTCGGAGGCTCTGTCCTGATATCAAGTGTGACCTTTTAAACTTGTGTTAATTTTCTAGACATCAGTCCCCTTTTTTCCGAAAATAAAAACTGTAGCCTGGTGTGGTGGTGCACCCCTTTAATCCCAGCAACTCAAGATGCAGAGGCAGGTGGATCTCTCTGAGATTGAGGTCAGCCTTGTCTGTGTAGTGAATTTCAGGCCAGCTAGGGCTACAGGAAGACCCTATCTAAAAAAAAAAATGTTCATGCTGACTACACTCCAATTGATGAACTTGCACTGAAGGATATCTGGGTACACATGTTTGATCCTATAAGACTTAGCATATGTGACAAAATACATGAAATCCATTGGGGGGGTCTCTGGGGGTTGTGGATGGGGAAGGGGGTCTAAATTGGGCTAAGATCTATTATATGAAATGCACAAACCTCAATAAAATGTTTTACAAAAAAGAAAATGAATGACAGTGAATGCTAAAAAGAAATGTTAAGAATTCCTTATTCTTGCATAAAAGACAAATCTCTGCTAGCCAGTATCTGACAGATGACTAATATGAGGATTATAGAAAACAACAACAAAAGAACAAGTAATTCAATCAATAAAAGAACCAATAATCTGAACGGAAACTTCTTAAAGGAAGCACAACTGGCTGCCAAATACATTGAAAAAGTTCATCAGCATTAGCAGTCGCACATACAAATCAAAACTACATTGAGAATCCATCCTATTCTACTCAGAATGGCTGTTATCAACAAAGAAGTGAATGAAAAATAAATGCTTGTATCAGGGAAAAGGAACACATATACTGTTGGTGGGCATGTAAATCAGTTTATTCACTCTAGAAAATGCATGGAGGGGCTGGAGAGGTGGCTCAGCGATCAAGAGCATTGACTGCCCTTGCAGAGGACCCAGATTTGATTCCTAGCACCCCACATGGTGGCTAACAACTGTCTAACTCCAGTTCCAGGGGATCTGATGCCTTCTTCTGACCTCTGCAGGCACCTACCTACATGCAGGCATCACACTTATACATGTAAAATAAAAATAATAAAATAAAAAAAAACACGTGGAGGTTCCTTACAAAACCAAAAATAGAACTACCATTGTTGGGTATATACCGGATGGAATCTAAGTCAGCATGTAATAGAGATACCTACACATTCATTATTATTGTTGCACTGTTCTCAATAGCCAGGTTATGGAATCAGCATAGGTGCCTATCAACCAATGAAAGGATAAGGAAACACACACACACACACACACACACACACACACACACACACAATGGAGTCTTACTTAGCCACAGAGAATAAGTCATTTGCAAGAAAATGTATGGATCTAAAAGTCATCACGTTAAGCAAAATAAGTCAGACTCAAAAAGGCAAGTAGGACATGTGTTCTGTCATGTGGAATCTAGATAAAAACAAATTTAGAAAAAGATAACTTGAAGGTAGAAGGAATACTGGGGAGGGTAGGCAGACTGGGGAGAAGGGAGTAGGAGGGGGAAGCAAAGAGAGGGGGATTGGGAAGCTAGGTTGGAGCAAGATGCCAAACATGCATATATTGATATACAGCACTGCAAACCACCCATGTATACAATTAATAATAGTCTTAACTTAAAAACAAGTGACTTTTCTGGAAATAGCTTAACCTGTGAAACAGAAACCAATGAGCAGAACTCTCATTTTTGAATAGGAAGTATTTTTTTCTTTGAAATTATAAAATCTTTTAGCTTTGCCATTTAACATCAGAAACTCTTTAAATTGACTTGGTTGTTAAAATGGGTAACAATATTGAAATTCTTATTTTCTTATCAGCTCTCATTGTCATCCCTGTCCAGAATATATAATGAACAGATAATTTTAATACCTGAATTCTGCATCGGCTATTATAGTGTCCTGATTCACTCTAAAAATGAAGTCAAAGGCTCAGGATGAGGATCTAGCTCAGTGGTAAGGTTCTTGCTAAGCATGTGTGAGGGTTTCTACTACTGTGTGTGCCTAGAAAGAAGAGGCAGGTAGAGAAGAGGCCAAAGTCAGCCTTGGATACATAGCAAATTGGAAATCAGTTTAGGCCCTGTCTTAACCAAACATTCACTTGCTTTCTTATTGATCTAAACCAGTACTTATGTCAACATAGACTCAGCTACAATTCTTTTCCTTACTTGGTGGCAATGAAATGTTTATTTTGTTGTCGTGGTGAATAATGACTACAAAGTCAAATCAATTTACTTTAAAAATGTAAAGAAAATTGGAAATTTGTGGTTTTCAGACACATATCTGTAGTGATAGTTTATGGCACTAGATGGCGATATAAGCGCATCACATAATGAACATTTCCTTAATTGGTCCAGCATTGAAATCCTGGAGACAGAGGCCAAAGCAGGTTAATGCATTAGTTAAAGAAACAAAGTCTGATATAATCAGGTGTTGGACAGTTAGCTAATACTTTGTGTTCAGCAAACCAATTGTCATTGGAAGAAAGGATTATTAAAAAAAATTAGTTTACCATACTGTTGAGAAATCCTCAAGCTAATTCCTGGGGCAAAAGTTGGTAATAAATACATATCTAATAGCATGTGTCTAATTTATATGTCCCCCTCCATTTTTGGTTTATAATTTTTAAATTAGAAGTAGTTTGGGATGGTTGTGCCTCACTGATATTGTTCACTGATGGAGTAGTACAATGCTTATCAGGAATATGAGCCCTAGGACCCTGGAGTTTTAAGGGGAAATGGCAGACTTACTGTAAGTAGTTGGCTGGGCCATTATTGACTGGCAGGCTCAACTGGAAGCACTCTGTTAGTGGATTAGGTTGCCCTGGAAATGCCTTCCTGAAACTCTAATGATGCACTTAAGAGAACCCTCTGGGACAGGAGTAAAATGTCTCTTAGCAGGCGTGTCTTCCACCAGAGTACTCTTGGGATGGGTTGGGAGGGGCCAGCACATCCAAAGGGATGCTCAGTAAGGAAGCAGACCCAGAAAAGGTTGCAGGTAGCAGATTCTTACAGGTAAGTCAAGATAGTGATATCAAGATAGCTCAAGATATCAACTATGAATATCCTATGGATTCTTCATTAATCATTTTGAGAGCGCATCATCAATTCTGTGTGTGTGAGGGGGATGGTTTGGGAATTGTGGTGGCTGAAGGGATGATGGAAAAAAGGGTGTTAGAGTGAATATAGCTTTAATCAAAGGGATTTTTCAAACATTTGCAACTTGAACATTGGTAGGGTCGAGGGGAACTGGTTTAGAGGGAGAAATGGGCCCTTCAGTGGAAATTCAGTGCATATAGAAGGGCTTATTTGAAGGTTTTTTAAAATGAAAATCACTTATGTTTATTTCACTGCTGGGATGGAGGGTTATCGTTGGAGGTGAGTTGCGGGTAGAGGTGCAAAGAGCAAAGAAAAGGCCAGTGCAAACTCCCAACTAGACTAGGGCCAGGACCCAGGGAAGCGCGGTCCTGCGCTGCGGCGTCCCCGCCCCGCGCTGGAGCCAGCGCCTGGCAGTTGTGTGCCCACCGAGAGCGCAGCATTGCCGCCGTCAGTGCTGGCAACCTGTCACTGCCGAGGACGTGACTCCGAGCTGCCTCCGCTTTCTCCAAGCCATATTCCTTTAAGATGATGTAATAGTCATTTCCCTGGATGGTTTCTTGCCTGCACTGCTGAAACAACAGCATCCGAACTGCGCTGGGAACTGTGGAACCACCCAGCTCCGCGCCCGCGAACAGACCCTAAGCCCCCACAGGCATCTTGGCTGCGGCCAGGGCTCCCTCCCGCTCCCACCTGGCGGGGGAACATGGGAGTCCCTTTGCCCTTGCTGGCAGGTGGGGTGGCTACCGGGACCCCAGCCAGGCGCATCTGTCTGTCTTTCTGCCTCTGGGCTTTCTGAAAGCCTTCTAAGTCCCGGTACCTCTGGTAACTCTCCTAGGTGTTCAGGATTCCTTCTAACGGTTTGGATTTCTATTATTTTGTTGTTTTATTTTTTTTCCTGCAGAAGCTTTGGTTGAGTATTTTTCTCTTTACTTCTTCAACTCAGCCTCCTTATCACGATTTAACTTTTTTGTGTGACTTGTTTTAACTTGAGATTGAGAGTGAATACATATGCACACACGCACATACAAACACGCATCTATATAAGTGCATACGTGTGGAATTATTATTTTTGGAGAGCACATCTCTCTGGCACTTTTCGTTGATGCCTCTGTCCTGTACCTGTTTGGGATTTGACAAGATCCAGACTCCGTGTGGCTGTGGTTTCTGCTTGCTCTGCAAATGGTTATTTCTTCGTAAGAACTGGGTCTCCAGCACTCACTAAGGTAAGCACCAAGACTTTCTGCTTTTTCTGTCCTACTGAAGAAAAGGGATCTCCTTTTAGAAGATGAAAATTGCATATTCCTTTTAAATTCAGATTTACAAATAGGATTTTTTTCAACACCAATTGCTGGAGACAGATGCTGATGGATAAACTTATGAACACAAAATACCATGAGAAAAGCTCCCGTTTAGTTAAGGAATGGTTAAAATCAGTAGCTCTAGGCTGCTTATGTAAAACAATCTTTCTTTTCCTCCCTGTCTTTTCTCTCCTTCCTTTTCTCTCTCATTCTCTTCTCTCTCCAGAGGTCTCTCCTTTTCTGACTCATTCTGGGTTTGAGGAAATAATTTCTCTCTTTTCCCTCAGATGGACCTCTGAGAAACCGGAACTTGGCCTCCTTGTTTGTGGGGCCTAAGGAAGATCGAATGTAGAAAAGCTGATAATTATACTCTGTGAAGTAAGAGCTCACCAGCAGCCGTCATTAAACTTCTTGTCCAGCAGTGCTTCACCTGTGGACTCTCTTAGATTTTGCTTTATTGGGGAAATAAAAAACAAAAGAGGGTAAGAGGAGATCTTATTTAAAACAAGTTAGCATCCTTTCCCTCCTTTATAAGTCGATGCCAAGATAAGCCTAAGACTCCACCGGATTGTACCTTTAAGTCCAAATAGCAGCAGAAAAAAGGACAATGGCTCTGAGTGGAAACTGTAGTCGTTATTATCCTCGAGAACAAGGGGCTGCCGTTCCCAACTCCTTCCCCGAAGTCATAGAGCTGAATGTTGGGGGTCAGGTTTATTTTACTCGCCATTCCACGTTAATAAGCATCCCTCATTCCCTCCTTTGGAAAATGTTTTCCCCGAAGAGAGACATGGCTAATGATCTGGCCAAGGACTCCAAGGGACGGTTTTTCATTGACAGAGATGGATTCTTGTTCCGTTACATTCTGGACTATCTCAGGGACAGGCAGGTGGTCCTGCCTGATCATTTTCCAGAAAGAGGAAGGCTGAAAAGGGAGGCTGAGTACTTCCAGCTCCCAGATCTTGTCAAACTCCTGACCCCCGATGAAATCAAGCAAAGCCCGGATGAATTCTGCCACAGTGACTTTGAAGATGCCTCCCAAGGAAGCGACCCGAGAATCTGCGCCCCCTCCTCACTGCTCCCTGCTGACCGCAAGTGGGGTTTTATTACTGTGGGCTACAGGGGATCCTGTACCTTGGGCAGAGAGGGGCAAGCAGATGCCAAGTTTCGGAGAGTTCCCCGGATTTTGGTTTGTGGAAGGATTTCCTTGGCAAAGGAAGTCTTTGGAGAAACTCTCAATGAAAGTAGAGACCCTGACCGGGCCCCAGAAAGATACACCTCCAGATTTTATCTCAAGTTCAAACATCTGGAAAGGGCTTTTGATATGTTGTCAGAGTGTGGATTCCACATGGTGGCCTGTAACTCATCGGTGACAGCATCTTTTGTCAGCCAATACACAGAAGACAAGATCTGGTCAAGCTACACTGAATACGTCTTCTACCGTAAGTAGGAAGGCCTCTATTTCTTTTCATGTATACCAGTTCTCTTCACAGATGTGTGTGTGATCTCATGTTCTGCCATTTTCCAAGGATACTGCTTTGGGATTTCTACAATGCTTAACTTATAGGTAGGGTACTAGAGACTGAAGGCAAGTTTTACCTGTTTTTCTAGTGAGGTTACAGGATAGTCAAAGACTTTAAAATATCGTAAGGTGAAAATAATATTGTGGAATGAGAACAAACATGCATGGTATTTTTTTCTAGATAGGGAATTGTGAGGTAAGGTTGCTGATTACAACCTGGCTGTTGGGTCATAGAGTTTGGTGTTTTGCAGAATGAGAATGGATGAAGGGCTGCTGACAATCTTTAGACTGAACTCTAGGGGTCTGTTAAGCTGATTGCTGAAGGCTTGCTTTCATCAGTGACTTTCAGAGCACAAATGGATGTTACATGGAGTGATGTGGTCTTGGCTAGATGGCAGTACAGACTGCTGAAAAGCCCCCCCTTTTCCCCTGCATATGAAATTCACTTTCATGGGCTTTACAGATCTGTTGTCTGATTCTTTAGTATTTTATACGGAGACTAGAGTTGTATTACAGGCTTAATTAAGCAGAACTTTGTTTAAGGTTCATCTAAAAGGAGCTAGATCCCTGAGAATTGTTAATCACATGCAAGCACCTCAGATAGCTGAGGTGATAGGATTACTGACATACAAAGAAACCAGAGTTGGCAAAAAGGAAATGATTGTGCTAGTGCCTTTTAAAAAGAGGTTCATCAAAGTTCATCAGTTCATTTGCTTAAATGAAGATATATGGTACAGGTTGCCTTGTTTAATGAAATGGTGTTATTCTAAACTGCAAGCTATTGATCTCTGTAGGAAAAACAGTAAATCAGCCTATATTGTTTGGTGCTTGATTTAACTGCTGATTTTCCCAACTGGCTTGGGAGTTGAGTGAATTCCACAAGGAATATGTTTCCAGTGTTAGCATTCAATTACCTCTCTTCATATTTTAAGGCAAATTCAGGACTGTTGATTAAAATATCTAAATTTGTTTAAAAATGAAAGTAAGACTGAGCTTCTTAGACCAAGCTTTTACCTATCTTTGGGTGTATTCTGGAGATAGTGCAGGAAAGGATGGCAGAAAAGCCAGGGGAAGCAGGGTTGTCCTGAACTAGGTTATCACACATCTGCTCAGAAGTGAGGACATGTGGACTGCATAGACAAGATGGCCCATGAAGAAAAATCGAATCAGTTCTAGGAGCATATTGTTGTATGGAATAATGCACATTATTTGGTCTAATGACCCCCAACTGGGGCCTTTATAATCTCTAACTCTAACTTCCTCTAGGCTAGAGTTTAATCACCAAAAACTGCTTTCTTCTATCTGGCAAAGTTCCCACAAGTGCAGAGATAAGGTTCTAGTTTTTTAACCTCTATAAAGAAACTGGTATTATCTGTGATTCTGTAGAACACACATCTTCTCCAAACTTTTTGTGCAAATGCATTTTAAAGATAGTTCAAATGGAGGCTTGGGTTATTCACTGCATTCCCCAATTTCTAATACTTGAAAACATACATCTAAAGAAGCTTCTTCCAAGTAGGTGAAAACATACTCCAAATGAACCAGACTAGACTAATCACTTGCCCACTTAAGTACTGCATTTACCTACTAGTTCAGTATCATTTCTGTGTTCATCAAGGACTCACCTGTCTGACCCTATGTCTTCTTTAGAATGCTCTCGAAAGGCCTTGTTTCCTTATCATATAATTGTGCCCTTTTTGTTGAACTCTTGAGAAGTTTGCTCTCCATAACTTTATGGGAAGGCTAGCACCAGTGCACAGGAGCTTAGTGCTAACAGTGTATGTTTTGCAAATCATATACTTCCCCTTTGTACCCAGCATCCAGAGCTAAGTGTTAACTCTTTCTCTGTCTCAGGACCAATAAAATTGACAGCTGGCTTTCTAGGGTGCATAACAGCTTCCGTGCAGCTGCTTAGCCATAATTATTTAATTAGAAGCTGCCAACTGTGCCTATATAAGCATTAATTCATCAAGCTGTTGTGCTCTGGTTAATGGGCCAAAACCATGGGAGGTACTCTAAAACAGGGAGTTGACGGCATGCAAAGATGATTTTCACAGAGGAATTTATCTTCTTCCTGAGCTTAGTGATGGTAAATGCATACCACATCACATATACACAGTCACACACAGAGACAGACACACACACACACACACACACACACACACACACACACACACTCATGATTCAAGGAAGTAACTCCAAGTAACCAACTCTTTGTTCCCAGCACCCACACTGGATGGCTCACAATTGCCTGTAACTACACACACACACACACACACACACACACACACACACACACTCATGATTCAAGGAAGTAACTCCAAGTAACCAACTCTTCTAATACCTCAGGAAAAAGGCAAACTCATATTGCCTGGATCCATAACACATTAAAATCGGAACACAAGAAACTGATGCCTTGCATATGCTCATAGACAGCCATAGGGAGAGAAGATAGCCCCTGGTTTCCATGTTTGACTGTTTTTCGGTTTTACATCCAAGTCTTTCAAGAGGAATTTGGGAAGTCCAAATCTACCCATCTATAGATTAAATAGATTACCTTCTTAACTCCTTTAAATTTTCATGTGAACTTAGAACTGATAGTGAATATCAATTAATTCTGAGTGGTTGTATTATTAATGTAGAACTATGAGCAATTAAAATGTCAGCTGGTACCTGCATGCGCTGAATAGGGATGTACATTTAGTTTATGTCATCCATACACCAAAGTAAATGCGCTAGAGTTGACTCACAGGATACTTTGGACATATGCTTTGCTTTTATTTAAAATGATAAAAAGGTACCTCTATGCCTTTTCCCCCTATTTGGCTAAATAATTACTCCTTGTCCTTCAAGCATTTTATATAAAGGTAAACTACATAGTGAGTTACAGGACAGCTGGGGCTACAGGGAGACCCTGTCTCAAAAAGACCAAAAAGAAAAAGAAACCAAAAAGGTAAAGCTATAAATATCTGACAGTGCTCTTTGATTCACCTTCAAATAAAGTGGAAATTAAGTAATTTTGAAATGGCAAGTCTTGATTTTTGACTCAGACAATAATGATCACATCACTTGGGAATAAAATCAAAAGTTCATGGAAAGAAAGAAACTAATTTCTAGAGTATCTTCCAATGCCTAGAGAGAGTGGGAGAATAGTTCTTGTTTGAAGACAGTGGTATACATTTCCTTAAGCCTACCCAGAAATGACTTACTTCAGAAGAATGCCTGAAAACACTGAAGTCTGAAAGCTTCTCATCAAACTAACAACATCACCACAAGTAGAGAGTTTAGTTTCTGAGAACCTTTAAATAATGTATTTATACTCTGAATTCTATGGATGATAAAAGCAAGTACCAATTCATAATCATTTGCACAAATGGCTACACATTGGGTGCATTTTAGTCTTTCTTCTCTTTCCTTTATTTCCCTAAGTTTAAGGCTTACTTCCACAAAAGTCCCTATTTGGATTTCTTGTCCGAGGCCTGTTGACTAGAAAAAGTCTTTGACAAACAGATCTTGAAATTATTTCACACTTAGAATTCAACTCAGACCTTGTACTGAGAAGAAGTGTGTCTATATGATCTGTGAATAATTTCTCCAGTATTGACCAAAAAGGCTTCAATTAAAAGGTGTGCTTTCATAGGAAAACATGTGGAAGTTCATCTCTCCCAAGATGACTGTAGCTCTTCTTCTCTTGATTACTGGGCAGATACCAATAATAACCTCTCAATTTTTGTTACACATAGAGATATGATGTTGGCACAGTCAAATAAATCAGAGTATAGAGCAGTGTAGGGTACAGAAGTCTTGCTCTCCTGCTCCAGCTCCTCTTCCTGACTTTTTTCTGTCTTCTCAACTTAGCCCTGATGTCAAGCTCCCCATGCCATAACCAAAGCTTGTTGTCTAGAAAACTTCTATTCTGTCATTACACACTTAGAGTGCTCTCAGGCATCATGTTACTCTAGCCGAAGGTATTTGAACATGAGAGAACTTTTAATAGTTGTGAATCAGGCAGCCTTTTACTTGGAAAGAAATGTTCTTAAGACTCAAGGCTGCTTAATTTTGAATTTAAAGAAAAATGCAATTTAAGCATAAAGCTTCATGATGAAGTCAACATAGACCCAAGACTGCAGACATTAAAGGGTAAAAGTGCAGAAATGATGACATGTTTTTTTATTGGTTTATGATGCTGTGCATTGAGAATTAGACTCAATATAACAGTGAAATAAGCATGTTGGTCCTATATTTTATACTGTTTTTACTTCCATACCAAATAAGATCAGTTCCCTGAGTCCAAGACCCTGTGGGAGGTGATTATGATAGCTTCTTCCTGGTCTATGCCATTGCTGAATGAATTCAGCAACAAGAAAAAAATGCCAGTATGTGAGCACAAAAGGAAGAGGACAAGTCTCTGAGATTTCTGCCAAGTGTAATAAACTAAAAAATATATACACTTGGGAAGAGAGGAACACATATTACTGACAGCCTAATGAGATTTAGATCTTAGCTAAGAAATTAGAAATTGAAGTAACTGAGAATGTACCAAACTCTCCTGACAAGAAACACCTCCTAACATAAAACATGGACAGTAAAACCTGTGCTTAAGAGCTTCAGGCCCACTATGCTGAGAACAGCTCTCCTGAAATTAATAGACACATGCTCAGTTTCTGCTTTGGTACTCAGGGCTGATTTTCTTCTGTAGTCTTTGCTATAGCTTTCCTTAAATCCCACATTCCCTGGGTAGCCAGTTAAATTTTTATTGTGGAAGATTTTCAAATGTGAATATATGTAGAGATTGTATAACGAACTTCAATTTAACCGACATCCATCTCCAATGACTGCATTTATCACCACAAGGTAGTCTGGATACATCTGTTCTCTCGCTCACTTTCTTCTGTCTGAACTGGATTACTTTGAAGACAA